AAGTCACCGACACCTCATTTGAGAATACGACATTTATAAGACACAAGAGTCAAGACATTCATTGTGTGGGTGTGAGAGAAAGGGAGTTAGAGAGATAACAAATGTAATACAAAAATATTGAAAAATCCAAATAAAATTTTAAAATTACAATTCAAATGCTTATGTTTTAAATAATTAATGAATTATGAACCCACAAAACATTCATTAAAATGATTAGTACCTATACAAAAATTATTTAATTGTAATTAGAGTGTCAACTTTGACCCGTTGATCTGTTGGATGAGTAGATCTGACTGAAAAATTTGATGGTATTCAATCATTCAATGGATGATATGGATTTGAGTTGTGTATTATTACTCAATGTAAAAATAGAGAAGATCCCAAAAAACAAAGACAACGAAATCAACAAACCAAATCAATACTTTTGTAACACATATCCCCAATTATCCTTCAAAGTGAATTTGGAATATTTTTTGATCATAGAATTCATTCATTCATCATTGAATTCGTAAATTATTTTTTGGTAAATTTTATCAATCAAGAGTCTGAAAGAAAATCATCCTCCATCTTGTTGTTGTGAAGCCTAGTTTTGTGACTACTCATGCTTGAGAAAGCTAGTTATGTGGGTACAATAGAAAGAGAAAGTGTAACCATGAGTTTAATCAATCTATCAAGAAATGATTAGATTGTTGATTATCTATTCTTAACCCACCATTTACATAAATAAAAAATAATCGAGAACTTCAAAAGACGTGAAAGTATAAGTTTTGGTGTGTTGACATAAGTTTTTTTTGTTGGGCAAAATACCTTTTCGGTCCTCAAAATATGCATGTAGTATTTGTTTGATCATCAATCTTTCAATTGTGTTTATTGGTCCATAAAATTTCTAATTTGTATTTATGTAGTCCAATCTTAAATGTCCGTAAAAAAATCGTTAACAGCTCTGATCACGCGCTAATCATGTGAGACCAAATATACACATATTAGACAATTTAAAGACCAAATAAACACAAATTAAGAACTTTAGAGGCAAAATAGACATAAAATTAAAAATCACATGATTGACACATGACCAAAACCACCAACAATTTCTGACGGCTTTTGAAATTGTACAACTTAGATACAAATTAGAAATCTTATGGACCAAATAGACACAATTGAAATATTGGGCACTAAATAGATACTAAATGCATACTTTGAGGGCTAAAAGTGTATTTTACCCTTTTTTGGTTTTAGAACTCTTCTATTATTAATATGGATGTGAGGGAAACTTAAAATTTATATTAAATCTTACAAGAAAATATCTTAATGAAAGAATCAAAATGCATGATAACGTCTAGTAGAATCTTTAATAAAGAGAATAGTAGATTTGTGAAAAACAAAAAACACCTACCATAAGACTTGTCTTGTGGGGCTAATATACGTCACAAATGGAGCAGAGGAGACTCGAATATATGGAATACAATGGTTTTGCAGAATATTGGGGATGAGGTGAGGGAGTGAAGATTCACTTTCGTCGACAAGTGGTCGTGGGTTTCGTTGCGAGAACGTATTATATACACATTTTATTTAATAATTAATGATAATTCGTGTCTGAAAATACTGTATAATTCAAAAAATTAACCATTAATCGTGGGGACAAAAAAAAAAAAGCATTGAACATTAAAAATAAAAAAAAAGAACATGGACATACATTAAGCTTAAAACCTAAACTATATCCTAAACATCTGCACATTGCATTTATGCTCAATAAAATATTATTATTTGAAGATTCTCGTGAAGACAAATTTTAATGAACGAATAGAGAAAATACAACTTTAATAATAAAAAATATGTAAATTTAAACTGAAAACCCATAAAATTCATATACTTTAAATCACATACCTAATTATAACTCACATTAGCGCTCATACAATTTTGATAAAAAGTCAACTTAGAAGAATCCGTAAACCTATGGCATTAGAAGAAATGCATGTGTTTGAAGACACTATGTTATACTAAACAAAACTAGTCCATATTTAATCAAAATAATTTTTGTTGTTCTTTTAAAAAATTTGGACGGAGTTTCTCTTAAAAATAGGATCTCAAGAAAATATCAATCTATATAGATAATTATTATATGTTACAATCAAAACCCAAATTCAATTCTTGGACACACCAATATAAAAAAAAAATTTCCAACAATCACAACAATGTAAACTCTGGTGTGCACAGATAAAGTTCAAAACAAAAAATTGTGCGAAATATTCAATTTCAAGTTTAGTTAAACATTACATAATCATATTAATTTGATGAAAGGTAAAGTACAGAAATATCAATTGGCTAACACATTGGGTGTATTAGTTCTATAACTTGTACACATAATTTTCTGAACCAAACTAACACAACCATGAAATAAGTAACACACACGTAATCATCTCAACATGAGAAATCAAACAAATACATGAAGGTAATTGTAACCCATTAGCACAGAGACAAATATATCAATCGTAGAAAAAAAACACACTACACATTTATTTTAAAATAGCAAGTAATTGGAATTTCTTCAAATCATATAGCAAATGTAAATACACTTACAAGCAGTCTCGGTGTATCAAATTTGGAAATGCAAATAGATCTCATAAATCTTGATGATACCGACTTGAGGACTTTAATCACACCACTTGGTAGTTTTCCACGTATACTTGTGTGAAAGAACTTGGGAGCAATTCCATGTCTCAGTGGCAAGATACGGACAACCGGCAAAAAAATTTCTGTCAGTGATGTACATAAATACCTATAGGTGCAAATTGAATCCTCAAATACAACGCCTCAATAATTTGGCCCTTATATTTCTACTAAATATAAGGGCCAAATCAAAAATATTGGACCTTCTAGTCTAGTGATTAGTCTTACATTCGATTGTAAGATACCTACGCACATCTATGGGGAATCAGAAACTGTAAAATATAGCAACTAAACAAAATATAGAATATCCCGACACAATGCAAAAAAAAAAAAATAAAAAAAAATTGAGCATTGATTAGGTAACATAAATGCTTTTTCATTATTTTCTTTAATTGCATATTTTTTAAATTCATGTGGCCCACTTTTAAAAAAAAAATTTGGCAAAGCTCCATCTAAAATAGGATATCAGAAAAAAATTAATACCTCAAGATGCTAAACTCACCATCATACCACTATATTGCCTAAACATAACCATTTACCAACACAATTAAGGCGAGAATTTTCCATTTTTTTGCTAGATGTTTGATATTGAAGTAAATATGCCTAGGTAATTTAGGTATGTGGAAAATTCAAAAGATTAGTGATGTAACACTTGCAATGCACACGCAATGATCACACATTCAAATATAATGGCATAGAGCCAATTTACTTGAATGGCTGTGACTCACTTTCCAATCTTAATTTATCAAGTGTTCCCACAATAACAAATTATCCCAAGAAATTTGAAACAGCAAGAAATCCAATTTTCTCATTTTTTGAAACCAAAGAATCCATAACAATTGGTCACTCAAAGTACCTTTAAATGCACTGTCAACCCAATCTTTGGCCCTCTATGCATCTACATCTATAATAATAAAACAAAGAGTAAAAATATTAACCAATTACAAATTGCATGACCCCATTCATTATTATAATCATAATCAACACACAATTGCCCTTGAGCACAAAAAAAGATGATTTAAAAGAGTGATTTATGGGACTTTTGAAGAGTTGAAGCAAAACACAATAAAAAAATTTCAAATAAGAAGAGGAAAAAAAAAAAGGATAGCAATTTTAAAATAGTGTCATGGGATAAAATAGAAAATCAAAGTTTTTTATGATAATGTAGTATAGATAGGTATAAATATAAATATAGATTACATTGTATACTTAAAAGTTCAATAGATATAAAAGGACAAAAAACTAGAACACATCATATAAACTAACAAAAGAACGCTCATCTCTCTCAATCTCTTCCTCGGTAATGGCCCGATTTAGTTCATTAGATAAACATACTTATATTTGAATTTTTATAATTCCAATTGATTTTTAAATTACAAGTTGTGACCCTAATTTTCAAGTCATTGCAATTATATTTTATAATAATAAATTAACCGTATAATATTGTTTTTAAAAAAAATAGCAAAATGACTTTAATATATTCAAAACTTATCCACAAATGTGTGTGACATGCATGGCCGAAAATTCTTAATCATTTGGTTAGGATGCTATCCTTATTGTCATAGTAAAATTTAGTAGGATGCGCATACTTAAGTATACTCAATAAATATTTCAAATTTATATAGATATTTTTAATAAAAAAATTTTGAGGTTGGGCACCCTCACCTAGCTCCACCCTTGTAGGTAAAGGGTTATATCCTATGGAACGTGAGGCGTGTTTTAGTTGTAATGTCTAAGAATGTGTTTTACCTATATACGATCTCATTATAATTTGTCAATTTTGTGTAGTTGAATTTATGTCAATCTATTTATATAAAATTGGACAATCTGTCAATTATCTGAATAAAGACCATACTGGAAGTCTTGCATGTGTTGCCTAACTTTCTTTCACAAAGAGTAGACAAGGGAAACGGCACTTTCCAAAAATTAACATGAGAAACGCCCAACCCAAACAAAAAAACGAAGAAAATGTGAGAAACGCTTTTCTAATTGAGTAATATTATACTGATCAATTTTTAAAATCATATTTAGAGTCTAAATGATAAGACAGCTGACTTGAGTTTCTTTATTTGGTGACATGTCATGAGCCCCAATAAAAACTCAAAATAATCAGCTGCCATGTCATTTGGGCTCCAAATTTGATCCTAAAATTTAGTCAGTGTAGCATTACTGTTTCTAATTACGTAGATTAAACCCTATTTAAAGTTTATTTTACACCCATCAATTGAAAGCCTCTTCTTAACTCTCCCATCATTCAATACACCAAAAACTCCTCACACTTTCAAAAAATTCTCTCACCTTAGACCACAAACACGACTTCTCTTTCATCTGTCATGAAGTCATACTCAAACATACGTTCACACTTTGATGAGGAACAATGGGTCATTCAAATTCGTCAAGCCCTAGACGAACACCTTGAAGAAAATACCCACGAAATCCCAGTAAGCATCTTCCACATCCCAAGAACCCTAAAGGCTAGTAACCCAAATTGTTACATTCCACAAGAAGTTGCATTAGGCCCTTACCATTATTGGCGTCCCGAGCTCTATGAAATGCATAGATATAAGCTCGCAGCTGCACAAAGAACCCAGAAACAACTCAAAAACCTCAGGTTTCATCAACTTGTTGAAAAGCTCGTAAAGTATGGGCCTAAGACTCGTGCTTATTACCACACATACCTTGATTTCAATGGCGAAACGTTGGCTTGGATGATGGCCGTTGATGCTTCATTCTTGCTTGAATTTCTTCAAATCTTTGCAATCAAAGAAGGTAACAAAAAGGTACTAACCAATTGATATTGCAGGGGCAAAATTTGCACACAACGCCATTCTCCGAGATATGGTGATGCTTGAGAATCAAATTTCATTATTTTTACCGAGAAAGATGTTTTTTTTTTTCGGAAGGTAAATGTATTAATATAAAACAGATATATAAGGGTAATCACCCGCAAAATGTACAATGGAATCACTTAGGACCCAAACACAAGGCAAGAAACCCAAAAAGAGTAGACAAGGGAAACGACACTTTCCAAAAATTAACATGAGAAACGCACAACCCAAACAAAAAAATGAAGAAAATTTGAGAAATGCTTTTCTAAATGAGTAATGTTATACTGATCAATTTTGAGATCACATTTGGAGTCTAAATGATATGACAGCTGACTTGAGTTTTTTTATTTGGTGACATGTCATTTGGGCCCCAATAAAACTCAAAATAATCAACTGCCATGTCATTTGGGTTCCAAATTTGATCCTAAAATTTAATTAGCATAGCATTACTGTTTCTAATTACGTAGATTAAACCCTATTTAAAGTTCATTTTACACCCATCAATTGAAATCCTCTTCTTAACTCTTCCATCATTCAATACACCAAAAACTCCTCACACTATCAAAAAACTCTCTCACCTCAGACCACAAACACGACTTCTCTTTCATCTGTCATGAAGTCATACTCAAACATAAGTTCACACTTTGATGATGAACAATGGGTCATTTAAATTTGTCAAGCCCTAGACGAAGACCTTGAAGAAAATACCCATGAAATCCCAGTACGCATCTTCCACGTCCCAAGAACCCTAAAGGCTAGTAACCCAAATTGTTACATTCCACAAGAAGTTGCATTAGGACCTTACCATTATTGGCGTCCCGAGCTCTATGAAATGCATAGATATAAGCTCGCAGCTGCACAAAGAACCCATAAACAACTCAAAACCTCAGGTTTCATCAACTTGTTGAAAAGCTCGTAAAGTATGGGCCTAAGACTCGTGCTTATTACCACGTGTACCTTGATTTCAATGGCGAAACGTTGGCTTGGATGATGGCCGTTGATGCTTCATTATTGCTTGAATTGCTTCAAATCTTTGCAATCAAAGAAGGTAAAAAAAAGGTACTAACCAGTGTCTCATCAAGAATGTCACATTTGCTTGATATTGCAGGGGCAAAATCTGCACACAACGCCATTCTCAGAGATATGGTGATGATTGAGAATCAAATTCCATTATTTTTACCGAGAAAGATGTTTTTTTTTCAGAAGGTAAATGTATTAATATAAAACAGATATACAAGGGTAATCACCTGCAAAATGTACAATGAAGTCACTTAGGACCCAAATACAAGACAAGAAACCCAAAAATCCAGGGCTCGCGACACAAGTCTGTAAGAGATGCTTTGATTAAGAGCATCTACTACAAAATTGTGGACAAGAATACAGAGCATGAAACCAAGATATCAAAACACAACAGCCTAAGTACATCAACAAAGAGCAGGCCAAAAGACAGTAGCATAGCACGCCATAACAGCAGCAAAACCAACACAACGCAAAGCAGCCCATCACCACATAGTAGCAGCAAGTGGACAGCCTCAGAACAAAACTAAACAACCCAAAATAAAGCATAATTAGCCCTGCTCCACAAAGCAGCAACATCCCTGCTCCACATAGCAGTAGCAAACTCTATGTAGTAGAAGGAAACAGGACAAGGCAAGCCAACCCAGCTTATCATAGCACTAACAACCCATATGCATAAGAAAAAATAGAATACGACAAAGCATTCCAGCTCAACATAGCAGCAATAGCCATCAATTTGACAGCCCCAAACAGCAACTAGGCCACAGGCCAAAGCAAAACAGCCCAACTCAACATAGCAACGCTAAAATTTCTCAAACAAGAATAGAGGAGATGAACCAATGATGCCCTTAGTATATAAGAGACCCTCCACCAACCAAACCCTCAAAAAGAGACCCTTCAACCGTAACATCCCAGCACAAGCATAACAGCCCCAAGCCGCTACACAGCCAGAGCAAACAACCCTTCACAGAAAAGGCAAAATAGCCCCAAGCAGTAGCACAACAAGGCAATACAGACCAACAACCAAAGGCCAGAAAGAAGCAAAGCAAACCGAGGGATCCACGGTTCAGCTTAGGTCAAACAAGCTTCAGGAAGGTTCCATTGTTGCAGCAGAATTGCATTTTGTTGAGTTCTCTTGAATTTCAATGATATGAGCCTTTCTCTAATGGTCTGCGTGATGGAATGGAGAAGAGAACTTGGGTCTTTGCTCTGCTTTTTGAAAATTCTCCCATTCCTCTCAGTCCACAAAAAATAGACAGTAACAGAAAGACCAAGCTTTAAAATAGTTGTCTTCATTGATTTTCCTCTCCACTGTTAAGTAGCCTAAGAAATTGAATCAGTCCATTGTCTCTGCTGCCACTACTAGTTGCTCAGGAGCATAATACCATTCCAAACCTTGTTAGAGAAATTAAATTCAAAAAATAAATGGCTGTGTGTTTCATCAGCTCTCCTACGTAGAACACATTGTGGGTCAATCTGAGCTACAAATCTTTGAATTTTGTCCTTGGTGCTCAGCTTACATCTGATAGCAAGCCAGAGGATGAAGGCCATTCTAGGGATAGCTTTACCATACCAGACAAGTTTATACCATTGCACGGTTGGACCTTCACTCCTGATATGTTCCCAGACAGAATTAGCAGAAAAGTTACCCCCTTCATTTAAAGTCCACTTGACTGAATCCTCAGTATCTTGGTCAGGAAGATAGCTTGGCATTGCATCAATGATTTCTTGCACTTGAATGGAAGTGCCAATTGTTCAATTCCATTGGTTTTTCAAAATAATTTTGCTAACCTTCGCGTTTCTTGGAATTCTGGATTCTAGCAAGATCCTTGGGTCTCTTCTTTAGAGTGGACCAAGGGGATGCCAGTTATCCATCCATAGGTTGGTAGCATTCCCATTACCTACCCTGTGGATAATGCAAGGCTTGAGCAATTCTCTAAGTTTAAACAAAATTTTCCAATTCCAAGAGCATGCTTGGGTGGCTTTGGGGTCCCAAAGGATTCTCCCCTTGATGTAATAGGCATGAATCCATTGAGACCATAATTCTCCTTGTCATTAAAAAGGTGCCACAGGTGCCTCATAAGCAGTGCTCTGTTCGAATCCCTCAACCTTTTGATACCAAGCCCTCTCCTCTTTAGGTTTACATACCTCTTTCCAGGAGACCTTTTCTCCCGTATGACTAAGATCAATACCTTTCCAGATAAAAGATCTGAAGGTCTGTTCAATTCTATGAATAACCTTCTGTGGAAGATTCAAATGAGAGGCCCAGAATATGTGCAAGCTGCATAGAATAGAAATGACCAGCTGAACTCTGCCAGCATATGAAAGTCATCGATTGATCCAAGACTTAACTCTTGATTCCACCTTTTCAATAAGACTGGAGTAGTGTTGATGCTTCAAACCAGACGAAATGATTGGAACACCTAAGTATTTGATAGGCAAATTCCCTTCCTCAACAACAAACAAATTCTTGATATGACAAGCAGTATCTTCATTTATTGCACACAAGAAAATATTACTTTTTATTACATTAACCTAGAGCCTTGAAGCCACATTGAACTGGTCCAAGGAATTCTTAATCACCGGGGCAAAGTTCATGTCACCGTAGCAAAACAACATCAAGTCATCAGCAAATGAAAGTTGGGCAATTTTGAGAGTTTTACACCTACAATGGAATCTGAAGCTTGTATTTGAACTAATGTTGAACTGGATAAGAAGAGATAAACACTCCATTGCAATAACAAAAAGGTAAGGGGACATAGGGTCACCCTGCCATAAACCCCTCATGCTAGGGAAGTATCCAACCAGCCCACCATTGATATTCACTGAGAATTTAGTAGAGGTAACACATGCTTGAATCCATCGCCTCATGGTGTAAGGGAAATTAAGAGCCTCCAATGCTTTAAACAGAAAAGTCCAGTCAAGTGTGTCATAAGCTTTCCTCAAATCCACCTTTAGCGCACTTCTAGGGGACCCTTTATTTTTATGGTAATCCCTCATTACCTCTTGAGTGAGTAGAATATTGTCACCAATCTTTCTTCCACATACAAAGGTTGCTTGGTTTGGGTTTATAAGATTGGGAAGAGAACCTTTAATCCTATTGGCAATAATCTTGGATATAGCTTTATACATGACATTGCAACAATAAATAAGTCTGTAGTTCCCCATAGTAGTAGGATTGGGAACCTTGGGAACTAACGCAATGATGTTATTGTTTACCTCGTTCAATAACCTTCTCGTTGAAAAAAATTCCTTCACAGCAGCAACAATGTCCTTCTCTATGATATGCCAAGCCCTTTTAAAAAACACAGCATTGAACCCATCAGGACCTGAGGCTTTATGGTCTTTGAGGAGAAAAAATATTTCTTGATTTCCTCCTCATTGACTTCCTTTTCCATTTCAGTGGGTTGTTGATCAGTAACTCTGTTTTGGATAATCGGTTGCAACAAATCCCTGCTCTCATTTGAATAGGAGGGCTGTCCCAGGAGCTTTTGAAAATTATCCAGAGCCTCAACTTTCACCGCTTGTTCCCCCTCAACCCTTGTGCCATCAGCTCTCGTAAGAGCCAGAATCTTTTTCCTATTCCTTCTATTAGCCATAGTCTTGTGGAAGAAAGATGTATTTTTGTCCCTTTCGTTGAGCCATTAGACCCTAGATTTCTGTTTGTAAAGTCCCTCCTCAATCTTAGCAACTTGAATGTACTTTGCAAGGAGTTGTTGTTCCTTTTTATTCATGGCATTGTCACTTGGGTTTCCATCTAGCATTCTTTGACATCTCTCCAAAGCTTCTTTGGCTCTAACTGTAACTTTCCCAATATTCTTGGTTATCACTTTAAACATTGTCTTGAGAAGTCAGAGTTTGTAGCAAACACGATATTGACAAGTCCCTTGAATAGGCTGTGACCAAATCTGATTCACCAAGTCTAAGGAATCCTCTCTCTCAGCAAGTAAGTTAAAAAATTTGAAAGGGCTGTTTCTCCTTTCCACTTGAAGTCCCAAATGCACAATAGCAAGACTATTGTCAGAAACACCAAGAGGTAAAAAATATGCCATAGCCTGTTGAAAGGTGAGGCTCCACTTTTCATTCACCAGGACTCTATCCAGCTTACGAGCTACACATCCATGACCACCCTTCTTATTACGCCATGTAAATTGAATACCTGAGTACTTGATATCGATAAGCTCAGAATCTTGTAAGCATTTATCAAATTCTTCCATTCCAGAGTTCCATCTGTTCTGTCACTCTTCATTTTCTTGTAAGCTCCTAATAGCATTAAAATCACCTAAAACCACCCAAGGTTCATTTGAGAAGATACTAGCATGGTAGATAAGATTGCTCCATAATGGTCTTCTTTCTCTATCATCATTAAAGCTATAGACAAAAGAGGTTGTGAATTGTACCTTACTTTCAAGATGCTTGATCTTGCAATGGACAACTTGATCAGACTCAGAGATCTTACTAAACTCCACATTATTTGGGTTCCACCCAATCCATATCCTTCTAAAATTATGACTATCATAGTTTGCTAGACAATTCCAATCTCTAAAGACCCCCTGTATGATTCTATTTTTATTTACAGGTTTCGCCTTTGTTTCAACCAGCCCCCAATATATCAAGCTTTTGTTCAAAAATAATTTTCTTAACCTCCCCATGTTTAGAAGTCTCATTAAGACCTCTAATGTTCCAACATGCACAATTCATTGAGGGGGTTGGATTTTTCTGAGCAAGTGGTGCTTAGCCACCTTGGACTTTGAGTCTTTCTTCTTCCCTTTCTTCTTTTTGTTTGGCATTTGTTGCAGTTTAGCACTAATTAGCTCCTCCTCCTTACGGACATCCTCGATTGTTTCATTTGATACGTTTGCTTCAGGCTCAATTTTCGCTCTTAAATCAACCACAATTTGCCCCCCTCCTTGTTGAGCTCCTCAAATTTGTTAGATGCCAAAGTAACACCAGCTTGCATGAGCAGTTGAGGAGAGGTACTCTTATTGACTGTTATCTCAGTGATATGGTGATCATGACCCAAAATATCTTGTTGAGAAGAGTTAGAGGCGCCACCTTGGATAACCATTCCCATATTATTCTTGACCATGACTGAGGAAGAAGCTTGGTAACCTCCTATCAGTTCCTCTGCTTGAGTCTGACCAGCCTCTTGCTGCTCTAACCCATTCAAAGTTGCAATTGCCTTTCCCTTATCTAGCCTATCTGAGCTGGCCTGTAAAGGAGCTGGTTTGGGCTCCCAGTTTTCCACAGTTCTTTGTTTGGGATAGGTTGACACTTTGTGATAAAAAATGCATCAGTTATGACAAATTTTAGGTCTCCATTGGCACTCCACCTTGATCTCTATGGTTTCAATTTTCCCCTAGATGTCCATGAGGAGGTCAAAACTTTCAACCAGTTTTTCAACAGCATTCACGTCTACACATAATCTTGTGTAACTTAAATCTCCTTTTATTTGCAGTAATAGTGTCAGAATAAATTGGTTTACCCACTGCACTAGCAAGGTAGCTTAGTCCTTCATCACTCCAAAATTGGAGGGGGATGTTATGCAAGTTAATCCATAGTGGAATAACAAAGTGGTTTTCTTTGGTTAGGCAAAGATCAGGATGCCACTTTTTGATGATGAGTGGCCTGCCAGAAAAAAGCCAAGGGCCAGCTTCACATACTTTGGTTCTACACTTATCATCCATGAACTTAAAAAAATAGAACCCCTTTTCATTTGCATAAACCTCAAGGAAGCCCATATTGCCCCAAATCTTGTGAGCTATAAAGCTAACAGATGTAAATGGGAGTTTTTTCTCTATGAAGTAACCAATAAGGCAGTTTCTCCACTCATGACAGCCCTTAGAGACAACTTTCATGGGGGGATGGACAATGATTCTATTCTTCTCTCTTTCGGGTTTAAAGTATTGAAGGTTCATTACCTCAGAAGGGTGTTGTTGCAGAGAGCTGGATTTTTCCATAGCATTCTGCTTTAATACTTGGCTCCATGGCTTTGCAGGTGTGGGCTTAGTTTGTGGAACACTCATATGCTTGCTTGGATGCTGCCCATTAGAAGATCCCCCAACCATGGGAACAGGGGAAAAGTCCCGAACATTGTTACCCGTAGGGAGAGTTGGGAACTCTTGGATGCTGCAATGGTCCTCTATCTCAACATCAACTGTGGTTGAAGTCGTGGATGGAGTCTTGTTTGCAATAACTTCATTCGACAAAGATGGTGGGTTTGGTGGAGTATCTTTCTGTTCACTACCTAGTGATGTTTTAGTGAGAGATTGGGTTGACCCACTTTCATTAATAGCTTGGTAGTTGGTAGAACAAGTAGGAGCCCCATCGATCTTCTTTGGATCTTTGGAAGTAAATGCCTCCCCTGTCATGGCTGAGCTGGAACGGTTTGCATAAATAAGTTGGAAAGAAGGTTGGGCAGAGGATAAGCAAAAGAAAACAGAGGACGAGAAGAAGAGGGGATCTAAGTGAATGAGGTGGGTAGCAGTAGGAAATGGAGGATTGAAGAAAATTAGGGGAGATTTTCATCAGTAGAATTAGCAGATAACATGTTGGTTTCAATGTTGATTGGGTTTTGTCGAGAGCTCTCTCCATTCAAGATGATGGAAGAAGAACACCCACATATTCGAGTTTGGGAGCATGTTCACTTGCTAGATGTTTTGTATAGTTCAATCGTGCCGGAATTGGAAGAACCATAAGAAATAACTGAAGTTGAGGAAGAGAGAGAAAAGGAAGGTGAAGGTAAAGATGAAGAAAGTAACATTTTGGGGGAGGCAAATTACATTAAACAATGCTTTGATGAGGTTTGGAAGTTAATTATGAAATTAGGTCATGGCAAGGTACGTTTCATCAAGAGATTAGTATTTTCAAAACCTATTCAAGTCATATTAAAATTGCCATGGACAATTATTTCTAACCTTCTTGGATTCAAAGTCTTTAAACTTGCTTATGAATATTTATGCTTTCCACTAGATAAAGAAAACGTTAAGCCAGTAAATGACAATACTAGTTTGCACAGCACAGGAAAACCTCCATTGGTGGAGTAGATTTCAATCCCTTATGTCACAGAACTCTCCAAAGCTGGTGTGAAATTTTCACCCACAAATGGTGGCATTTTAAATTTAGGGTTTGATTGAAAAACTGTTACGTTGTACCTACCCACCATTAGTATAGATGTTAATACAGAGGTGATCTAGAGAAACTTGGTTGCTTATGAAGGTTGTAATGCATCTGGATCGCTGGCTCTCACTCGTTACACAGAATTGATGAATGGGATTATTGATACGGCGGAGGATGCTAAGTTACTCAGAGAGAGAGGGATTATTGTGAATCGTTTGAAGAATGATGAAGAGGTGGCCAACTTGTGGAATGAGATGAGTAGGTCTATGAGATTGACGAAAGTGCCCTTCTTGGATAAAGTGATTGAGGATGTGAACAAGTATCATGACAGTAAATTGAAGGTTAAAGCTGGGAAATTCATGAAGGCTTATGTGTTTTAGTCATGGAAGTTTCTCTCACTGTTTGCTGCTATTCTACTCTTGTTGTTGGTGACTTTCCAAGCGTTTTGCTCTGTTTATAGCTGTTCCCGAATCACTCATGAACATCTTTAGTGATTTAGTGTGTTGTACCTCTCAAGTCTTAACCATGAGTGATGGTTTCTTGTGTGGTAGCAAAGTAATGTAGTGTTGTTCCATTTATTAAGTCAATAATATGAACCTTTTTCATAGAGATTTTTCTCTGGAACAATGCTTAATTGCATGCTCATCTGCTCTCTCTCTCTCTGTTGAGGGTGGTTTGGTTTTCTTTGTGGGGTGCACCAAGTTAAAATGTTTTCCGCATTTACTCTGTATTGATGTTGGAGTACAATTAAGGTATTGAAAGAGGTATGATATTAAAAGTTATAATTAACACAAGGAAAACGTAGTTACCATTCTTTCAGGTCATTTTTCTAATTAATCGAGTTACATTACTAATCTTCAAAGTTGAAATCAATTTAAAATGTTAGAATTCACTCCAAGTAATCTATTCTTGTAATTGAATTACTATACAGAATACACGTTAAGAATGGCTAGACAGATCATGTTGAGATAGTATTAATATTGGGGTGTGCCATTAATTTTTGATGTCTAACTTAATTCGATTGGTTTACACTGCCAAAATATCTAGAATTTCATATTAGTTTATGATGATCGTTTCTTGAAAATCTAATCATGTGGCAAAACACAGTGGTGATGGAATTAAATAAGTACAATTAAAATGGTGCAATGCCATAGTGATCTTATTTGGAGACTTTATTTAGATACTTAATGATGTACAACTATTGAATTGATTGTAAATTCTATTTAACATTAAAACTCACAACTAATCTAATGGTTGCAGTGAAGTCATATCATTAGATCTCTAAATAAGGTTCAAATAGCATTTCCCATTAAAATATGATCATACATATATGATAACATGATAAAATTTTTAAATTTAGGGTGCGTTTGGTAATGTTTTCGTTTTACGTTTTTTTTATTTAAAAAAAATAATTTTTGTTTTGGTTTTAATAAAAATTTAAAATATATAACATGTTTGGTAGTCATTTATATTTAAAAAATTATAAAAATAAAAATAAAAAATATGTTTGGTATTATATCAAAAATTTACTACCTAACACCTCCACCAACTACCTAACACCACCAAACACCCAACCACCTACCACCATCAAGCACCCAACCACCTATCACCACCAAACTCCCACCACCACCACCGAAACCCACTCTGTATAAACCCGAAACACACAACCCCTTGTAATCCTGAAACCCACCTCCACCACTGAAACTCACCCCTATCCCCGAAACCCACCACCACCCAGCCACCCAACACCAAACCAAGCAAAACCCACCACCATTAACCATTCAACCACCACCAAAGAAGATGAGAGAGAGAAGATGAGTTTTCACGATAAAATTTCTAAATTTAGAATTGAAATATTTTTTTTTTCTGGGAGGGAGAAGAGGGTTTGAACCCTTGACCTCAAAAAGACAAAGCCTTCACAAAATAAAAAGTGCCACTGGACCAAAGACCCATTAGATAGAATTGAAATGTACTAGATCAAATATGTTGTAACATTTCTATTTTTCTATAAAACATAACAATGTGTAATATTGAATGATTTATTTGAAAAAGTAAGAATTTTATTGCAGGCAAAAGCATACACGATATGTACAAAAAAAGAAGAAAATTAGTCAAGATATGCATAAGTTGATCTGAACACCTCTTACAATTGAAAAAAAAATGTAGTAAGCCAAAACAGTACGAGATAAAGAGATAAAGAGATAAAGAGGTAAAGAGTCTCTGACTAGATTAACTTCTCCCAGGTTGGTAAATGACAAAAAACAAGGTGTCATAATCCAAATGAACTGAACAAGAAAAAGTAATTCCTAGACAAGCATGGTGATGATGCCCGTTAGAACAATGTAATTGGGTTACTGTTGAACATTAGGCGGTCTTGTTTCCTAATTTATTTGGAATTTCTTGCTAATGAGCTCTCCATAGCCGGACAATAAATGGTAGGGGTGTGATTCGGGAGAAAATATTCATTATAACTGCGACACTACATGACAAGGCAATGTTGTATTATTAATCAATACTATTAAAAGAATAAACAAATAGACCCCACAAAAATTAATAACTAACCTATCATATAAGCAAATAACTCCCTACTCTTCTTCCATGCAAGAACATGTTCAACCATTCAAATTTAGACTCAAATTTGAGTAAAAAACTTAATTTAGTATAGAGTACTCCAATGGGCAAACTCAGATATCTACTCAAATCTTTAAAAAATTTCTTTATTATCTCAAAACTCATTTTTTGTATCATTCAAATCATGAAATGTTATAAAATAAATGAAGCTTTTATATCCTTCCATAAATGGGTAATTCAAAAAAAAAATTAATTATGGATACAACATCACCTGGGAATAGAAAGAAACAAAAAATATAATAAAAGAAAATCAACCTAGAATTCTCAGATGTTCTAATCCATTATCCTCTTCTGTAAATCTAGATAAATAAAAAAAATATTTACTTTGATATTGATCTGGTCTAAAGAACACAAAAAATGAATTATTTTTAACAAAAATGGATAATTGAAGAAATAAAAAATGAATATTTTAAATTTGTGGGTAGTGAAGGTTTGAAATTTTAGGAAGAATCGGATACCTACAATTTCACTATCGATACTATTTAACTCAAAAGAAAACAAAAACAAATTTGATAGGTAGGTTTAGGGTTTATATAGAATGAAAGATGGATGAGATTAGGGTTTTGAAAAATACAAAAAATCAAGAAGATAGAAGATGAAAATGAAGAAGCTTACCTACAGGTTTTCAAAGGATATGTGAACGCTTCAGTGGCGGTTGGTGATAGAAACAACATAGAAGAGAGAAGAAAAAAAAGGTAGAGAATATGTCATCGAAGAAGTCTTTTAGCTTCAGATAAGATAAAAAGTTACCGTTGAAATTTGGTATAGCATTTGAGTTTTCTTTAATTTGGGTGCAGAATAAGTTTTTTGTTGATTTGGTATTGGTTTGAGTTTGAGGTTGGAGAAGGTTTTTAGACCATCTAGACTCATATTTAAATTTGCGTTTAAATTTAAGTTGGATTGGAGATGCTCTAAGCCCAAGTGAGGTTACCTTATCCATTTAGGGTTTTATTATTGGTTGGTAATACTATGTTATCAATGGTGACAAGGTATTATCCTTGCATTAAATATTTACTCATGATTCGAGTGGATAAGTTCAGAGTTTCCCAAGGTATAAAACTCCTCAATCTGATTGAATCGTTCGATGTCTGTGTTTAAATATTCAAAAAGTTAAAATTCATGCTTATTAGATAAATATTTATGTTACACCCTTCTCTAATAACTTAAATTTTTGAAGTAGATAATTGTTTAACATAGTATCAGAGTTCAGAGATTCTAAGTTCAAATCTCACATGACCTCCCTTCTACCAAAAAAAAAAAAAATGAAAACAATGATGTGAATAGACTACCCAAGGAGGGGCCACATGTGAAGGGGAGTATTAAATAAAAACTTATGTTACACCTATCTCTAATAGTTTAAACTTTTAAAATAAATGGTTTTTTTAACATGCTCAATCTGCAAAAGAAAATTCATGCAACCATTCAGGTTTAATTCTAAATTTACACAATTTTTAGGTTGAAATATGGGTTTTGTTTGAGTTGACCCCGAAGTCGTGAGTGTGGAATAAGATCAGGTTGGGTTCTTAAAACTCGATACTCTGACCCAACCACTATGCCATATAAATTTAATTTTATTTTTATTTTACAAATACGAAATATCTCTATGTAAGTACTAAATATTTTCAATTAAATTAAGTTGGAATTCGCTCGCTCAAATTATGCCTTGTTAAATTGTTTACTATGTATTGTTTATAGACTTAAGCTCAACTTAAACATTTACACAATTCAAATCTAAAATAAATCCTTCTCTTCTTGAATCTTGCCTAGGTTCTTCTCTAGGGTTTTCTCTGAAGTCATCTCGGTTTTCCTTTTGTCTTTGTTTTGGAGCCTTTCATTTATTCCTGATGCAGATCATACCTCCTATAAGAAGAATTAATGGTCATATCCTTGGATTTCCTCCTGGTTCGTGGTGTCTAGGTTACATATTTTTGGATAGTGTGAGCAGAGTAAATTTCTAGGCCTCGCAACTTTCAAATCCCTTAGTCGCTTTTGAGATCTCTCTCATGAGATTCCAAGAGGTCCGCTTTCTTCTTTCCGTTTCACAAATATACCCTACCCCACCTATTTCGTTTGGCATTTTTTCATTTTTCCACTTTTCATTTTCCTTAAAATAACCTACATCACTTACCTGGTCTTGATGCTCTTTCCCCATTCATTCCTTCTTTGTTCCCCTTTGTGCTCTTTTTTCACCTTTTAGTCTAGGTATCTTCCTTTTTGGTCTTTCTGGCCTATTTCTTTCATTCGCCTTTACTTCGTTTCATTTTCATAAAAAGCGCCCAAATGTCGAAGGAAATAGGAACAAAGTCTCATCCCCAAAATTCTCCACGCATTTCCCTTTAACAAATCCATCAGCCACTCAAGATGTCCAACAAAGTCTGTATGGTGGGGAAAATACTATCAGAAGTTGCCCTCAACAAGCAAGGAGTAACTAGCATTTTCCAAGGCTCGTGGAAGAGGGTAAAGGGTTTCTCACTGACTCTTTGGGAATACCTATATGTTTATGTTTAAAGATGAAAAGGATAGAGATAAAATCTATGGAGATGGTCCGTGGTCGGTTATGAGAGCTCTGCTTGTTTTGAAGAAATGTGTCCAACACGGTTCCCTGAGAGACCATGATTTCTTCAAGACAGAGTTCTGGATACAAATTTGGGGATTGCCTTTTGATATGATGAACAAACATAACTTATGGCAGATAGGCAAGATTATTGGGGAACCAACCCAACAGGAAGATTCAGAGGGTGAATTTCTA